AGCAGTTAACAGCTTCAGTTCCCTATCTGTGCTCTCATCGAAGCCAACAGACTCCATTGACAATGGTATCCTGAACACAGGAGCTGCTGGTCTACCGCTGCCTCAGTCAGTTAGTTTGTCTGTGTTATTGTGTGACTTTGGCATTTTTTTCTGTTAGTTCAGATTCACCAAAATCACACAATAGCACACAAAAAATAATCTTCGAAGCAGAGGTAGACCAGAAGTTCCTGTGTTTAGATATGTTAAATTAGCATTTTTTTGAAATATGATGGAAAAAATATCATAAAAGGCCATGCCATAAAAACATATGAAAAATCATAGTATAGTATATAAATAAATGAAATGGTCATTGTTAAGTGTGTGAAAAATATCATAAAAAAGTCATAGTATAGTATGTTATCAAATATATCATAAAAAAGTCATAGTATAGTATGTTATCAAATATATCATAAAAAGTCATAGTATAGTAAGTAAAAAAATTCAGCCATATGCATAGTATAGCATGTGAAACAATCATAATATAGTGGGTGAAAAAATATTTTTAAAAAAAGCAATGTGAAACAAAATCAAAAAGGTCAATGTACAGCATGTCAAAAAATATATAAAAATAAAAAGTCATGTTGTAGCAAGTAAAAAAAAAAAAAAAAAAACAACACAAAAAATTCAAACTATAGTTTGCCATAAAAAATATCATGAAAAGGTCAGTTTGCAGGAAAAAAAAACTTATAGAAAGTCATGGTTTAGTGAAACAGTACATTTGGCTGCTGCAGATACCTTTTATGCTGCAGGTTTGTCCACAGGATTCTTCAGCAGCACTCTGATCTGCTCTGCATATGTTTTCTGTCGCAGGACGGCGAGGAGCTGGAGCTGCTGACGAAGCCCAACACAGACAGTGAATCTGAGGAGGAGTCCTTGTAGTACTGACTTATGATGGAAGATTTTCACTGCTGCTGATATTAAGAAGCGATGTAGTCATGGACGCAGCGTGGTCACAGATTCTGTCTCAGCTCATTTATTGAAATGACTGTCAGCGGGTGAACAGTGACTGACAGTGCTGCTGGACCGTGGGATGAACTCTGTCAGACACTTGTGATAATAACTAAGGCTGTTGTGTATATATAGAAATGTGCCTGTCAGTATGAGTGCTGTTATTTACATAGTGAAAGAAGCACCAGTTAAACCATCAGTGTATGTACTGCTGGGAAATACTCTAAGTATCAGTGTATTTGCCACTTTGGATCATTAAGGATTCTTGTTCGGGATATTTTGTCTCCTCTGATGATTCCTCTTGTTTGTGCAGCTATTTGACTTGTTCCAGATGATTGATGGGTTTAATGACCAGAGTTTTATAATTGTAAATGCAATGATTGTAATGATTGGCTTTATACTGTTTTTAATGTCATTGGCAGCGTGCAAGAGAAGAGTTCATTCAATCTATAGTCAGTATTTAAACAATGTTGAAACTTAAGCACCAAATTCCAGCACAAAGTCACAAACTGCAGCATCACAAAACATTACCAGAAATGTACACGCACACCAGGACTGTTTCCATGACAGTGTATGGAGCTTTCTATTTTTCTGCTCAATCAGTGTATTTTCTTAAAACATGAACCAGAACCATGAGCATTGACAGAATTTAGCAGTTAGAATGCCTGGATTTCTGAAAGCACAACAAAGTGGCTCCTGGTTCTTATTTGGCCTTGAACATTTCTTTTTTTTTTTTTTTTTGGTGGAGGATTGATGTAGTACAACTGTGATATATAATTCTTGTGCCATAAAGTTTGAACATATGCCAGTTGTTCTGAAATAAACTGCAAGTGAAGTGGTTTAACTTTGTCAGAATAAAAGTAACAATCAGAAGAGAAAAATTGGCATGCGGCAACAGCAGTATAGGAAGTGGAAAAATGAAAAAACAAAAGGAAGAAGAAGAAGCAAAAGGTAAGATAAGGTATGGTTAAAAACATGACAAAAAAACGAATACTGGAGAATTGAGAAAGATCAAAGATGTTTAAAAGCCATTTTTATTGTGTTTAATTCTGACTATTTCACACATTTTTAAATCATATATAGGGTTGTTTTCATTGTCAAATGGCAAATAAATTACGGTCAACTGAAATGTTTTCATTCATCATCAAGCCACTAGGAGGGGATGTAGCTTAAAAGATTATTTCAATGTAGTATGCCATCAATATCAAACAAAAAAAGTCATAGTATAGTATGTGATCAAAAATATAAAGAAGTCATAATATAGGGTGTTGTTATAAATATCATAAAAAAGTCATAGTATAGTGTGTCGTTCAAATTATCAAAAAAAAGTCATAGTATAGCATGTCGTCCAAAATATTATAAAAAAGTCATAGTATGTCATCCAAATTATCATAAAAAAGTCATAGTATAGTATGTCATTCAAATTATCATAAAAAAGTCATAGTATGTCATTCAAAATATCATAAAAAGTCATAGTATAGTATGTCGTCCAAATTATCATAAAAAAGTCATAGTATAGTATGTCGTTCAAATTATCATAAAAAAGTCATAGTATAGTATGTCGTTCAAATTATCATAAAAAAGTCATAGTATAGTATGTGGTCCAAAATATCATAAAAAAGTCATAGTATAGTATGT